CCACCAAAATATTTCGGAAAATACCTCCAAAAATTGAGTTTTTTTATGAATAAAAATAGTTTCTTAAAGAACTTTTTGAAAAAAATCACCTCAGATGACAAAACAGATTAAGCTTTAAAAATCTGCATACAAATATTTAAAAATCTTTTCAACGGAATCGTAATAATGAGATTTTAGATGCTGTTTTTTAACTTTTTTCAAAGAATGATTTACGAAAAACTTGAATAGCTGGGCCAAAATTATTCTGATTTAGACTTATAGGATATCAGTAGAAAGGAATTTTCCCACTATTTTTATTTATGTGCACAAAAAATTCATTGAAATCCCTTTTTTCAAAATACCAACACATTTTTATTCAACTTGGAATGACGCTCGTACATCCTACCTTTCTCTTTCATCCTTTCAATGAGTTTATTAGCAAAGAAGTAAAAAGGGCGAGAAAATACCTTTCCAATGATACCTCACAAGTCTAAATCGGAATTGTTTAGGTTCAGTTATTAAAGTTTTTTTATACCATTCTTTGAAAAAAGTTAAAAACCAACATAAAAAATCTCATTATTACGATTCCGTTGAGAATTTCTTTACTTTTTTTTTAATATTTCTATGCAAATTTTTTAAGCTTATCCCGTTTTGTGTTTGAGGGGATTTTTTTTTTTTCAAAAAAATCTTTAGTAAACTTTTTATTCATAAAAAACTCCATTTTTGGCGATATTTTCAAATCGGTTCAGCTCAGGTAAATCTTAATATGTTTCCGAAATATTTTGGTGGAAGTCTTAAAATATAATAGATTTGATAATTCCAATGGAAACACAGTACGGATTTTTTTTTTTTTTGTATGGGGAGTGATACAGTCTAATGTACATATGTGAACTTTTTTTTGCGCATTGCTTGCAAACAATTAATTACCGTTGTAATATTATTTCTAATTTGAAGATAGTTGCTTGCATTGTTTTCAAATTAATTGCTGTATATTAAACATTTCCATATGTTCTTTATTTTCTAGGAAAGCAAAAAATTTACTGTGCAAAATGCGATAAAAAATGTTCCGGCGAGGTGCTACGCGTAGCAGATAAGCATTTTCACAAAGCTTGCTTTCAATGTTGTCAATGCAAAAAGTCGCTCGCCACTGGCGGATTCTTTACCAAAGATGGCGTTTACTACTGCATTCCCGACTATCAGCGTCTGTACGGCACAAAGTGTGCCGCTTGCCAGCAATATGTCGAGGGTGAGGTGGTTTCCACGATGGGAAAGACGTATCACCAAAAGTGTTTCACGTGCTCTAAATGTAGCAATGCATTTAAATCTGGCAGCAAGGTAAGTTCATAGTACATAAGTACATGTTTTCATTATTTTCGCCAAAGCACAATTGGCTCATTCCAAGGTAATCGGCACAAGATATTACAATAATTATTGTATTGATTTAATTGTTATTTTCTTAATTTCCCTAAGAACTATACTTTTTTTTATCTTTAAATTTTGATTTCTTAAGAAAAATAAGCAAAACAATCGGTGTTTTTGACCTTTGACCTCGGATATATTTTTTAACAGACTTGAGATCTTACCGATTTCCTTTAATATATGCAGTATTTGTAATAGTTTACCCAATACCTCTTACTTCAAACGTACTTAAATTTGACCGGACTGCTAAAAGTGGTTCTTGGCATAAAAATTTAACTATTTAAAACTAAAAGGTAAAGGGGAAATTATCAGAAAACTATATGTATACCGTACCGCCTTACAAGAACCAAAAAAGTGCGCCGCACAACCACCAGTCGTTAGATATATGTATGTAACCATGGCATAAAGTAACTGTAAATCTTGTTCTCTTTTCGCTAACAGGTAACGAATACCGGCAAAGAAGTGTTATGTGAGAATTGTATTCCAGCTGCTGCTTCATCGCCCATCCGACAACAGGCGAATGCTGCCGAAGGGTCACGCAAGGAAGGCACGGTTTCACCAGTTCCAAAAGCTGAGAGTCCAACACGTGCCACGGCACATCAGCAGATGACTAGCGGTGTGGTGTCGGACAAGGCGCATTTGAAGGAGGACTATGATCCGAACGATTGTGCTGGTTGCGGTGAATTGTTGAAAGAAGGGCAAGCATTAGTTGCGCTAGATCGGCAGTGGCACGTTTGGTGTTTCCGGTGTAAAGCTTGCAACGCCGTGTTAAACGGCGAGTATATGGGCAAGGATGGTGTGCCCTATTGTGAGAAGTGCTACCAAAAATCGTTTGGCGTCAAATGTGCTTATTGCAATCGCTTTATTAGCGGAAAAGTGCTACAAGCAGGTGACAACCATCATTTCCATCCGACCTGTGCACGCTGCACCAAATGCGGCGATCCATTCGGCGATGGCGAAGAAATGTACCTACAAGGCAGCGCCATTTGGCATCCACGCTGTGGCCCTGGGCCTTCTGAGTCCGGTGTTATCTTAAACGGTGGCGGACCACCAGTCGGAAATGGTGCCTTTACGGATACCGAATGCGATCGCATTAGCTCGAGTGCGCTGAGTGACATGGTAAGTGAAGACAGTTCGATGATTTGATGTGCACTGCAATGGCTTAACCCTTTTCTACATATTGTAAATATGTATGTATATTGTTTCATGAGAATTGTTAGCTTAATTGGTAAATGTGCGAGTTTGAAGCATGATGAGTTGCACAAAAAAAAAAAATTTCAAGCACTGTGCACCTGTATATGATTGTGTAGCTGCACGTACGATCCCTCACCTTCCTACTCCCTAAAAGCAAAGGATTTTTGCAATGGAATCGCAAACACAACGCATTGGATCTGTACGCTGATGATTGTGGCAGTGCGCATGCGTATGATTGCACATTCTAATGGATACTATGCTGCCCACCACACAAACCTTCCCAATCTCCGACCATATTGTACCTCCTTAATCCTTCTCTACCACATTTTTTTTATTATTTAATCCCTTTTTTATTGTTTATTTTTGATTTTTCACAATTTGAGCTTGCAATGGTTTTCTGTTGTTTTCAGTACACGCGCTCCAGAACGCCGAGTTTTAATGGTTCACTTTATTCCTCTAGCCGCAAGGTTTGTTTTTCTTTAATTTTATTTGGTTTTTACTTTGGTTTGTATATAATAAATAGTACATTTTTATTCTGGAATCTTTCTTATTTTTTTGATATTAATTTTTTTTTCTGATTTCTTACGTTTGCGCTTTCGATATACACAAATCACATTCAAAATCACAAAGCTATACTCTTAAACTGAATATTAATTGCTTAACTAATTTTAAAATGTAAAAATTATAAGAAAAAATAACTTCAAACATATTCAATTATTTATCAATAAGTACCTAATAGATTCCTTATGACAACTTTGCAGCATCACCACTACCGTACCGTTAGTCCCGGACTAATTTTACGTGAATACGGTCGCCCTGGTGGCGAGGATATTTCGCGTATTTATACATACAGCTACTTGACAGATGCTCCACACTACTTACGCAAGCCAATTGATCCGTATGACAAGATGCCGTTGTCACCACATTTTCACCGACCGCCGTCGTATGCCACCAGCACTGGTGGTTCAACAGCTGGTAGTCGGCCACCGTCTCGGCCGCATTCGCGCAGTCGCAGCGCCATGAAAGTGCTTGTAGATGCAATACGTTCGGAGACGCCTCGCCCCAAAAGTCCTGCCATGAACAACGAAGAGCCGATAGAGCTCTCACATTATCCAGCTGCTAAGAAGCCGCCACCAGGCGAGAAACCGAAAATTGAAAGGGATGATTTCCCAGCACCGCCTTACCCGTATACAGATCCAGAACGTAGGCGCCGTTACAGTGATACTTATAGGGGTGTTGCTACTTCCGATGATGACGACGAAGTCGACAATATGAAGAATGGCGAAATTGATACGTAATTAAATGAAAATATCTCTACCCAATTTGGGGTTTTAAATAAAAAAACTTATATTTTCTATTATCCATTCGTGTAGACGCCTACAACGTGAGGCTGAAGAGCTGGAAAAATTGAATTCAGGTATTGGTTCAGCTATTGCTAAAGATTTAAAGGAACACGCAAAATATAGGAAATGGAAACAGCAAAATTTAGACCCGAGAAATGCATCACGTACACCATCGGCAGCTAAAGAGCCCATACTCAAGTTAAGGTAAACATTTTAAAAACAAAATTTGCTTCAAAATACATTTTTTAATGACTGTTCTAATTTTTTTTTTATTGAAAATAGATACGAATCACCTATTGGTGCTTCACCATCGCGCAACTTAGATCATCAGAAGCCTTTCTATGAAGACGAAATCTTTGATCGGTCAACAAGTTACAGGGGTTCGTTAGGCAAATCGCTTGGTAATGCGCCCAGCTACAACGGTAAGTCGCAGAGACAAGTATGTAGTTAACTTATTTAAAGAAGAATGCAGTTGATTATTTTTATAACAAAACGCTAAACCCGTATGAATTCGCGAATGAAAATATTTGCCTCTTTATGTAGGGGTGATTACTATATTTACGAAATATAGAAAACTACAAATATGACAGGTTAGCAAAACTACCTAGGTTGCCGAGGCTTTGTTCTGTTTAAAAAAGAGTCGCGTTGAATATCTAGACATATACATAACGATATGAATTTATATTAAGTCCGTTTTAGTGATGGTTTTTTTATTCAGAAACTTCGAAAAATTTATATATTTAGTAAGATTATAGTATTTAGTTCAACTTCCACCGAGTTTTAACTACCAATTGCCCTTTTTTACGCTTTCAAATAGTTTTTGAATGAATAAATTTCTAGGTGTTAAATGAAAGTATCTTAAAAACAACCGTACAAATTTTTTTTTTTAATATAAAAAAGTGTTACAAAATAATATCGGGCGTAGTTATTGGGAGGAGTAAACAAGTTATGCCACCACTGCAGTCATTCACACATACATATCCTACCTATGTTTACCAAATGTCATTTAACTCAAAGTTTGAGCTACACTCACAAATAAAAAATCAGCAATTTGATTAAGCTTTAGAATTTACGGCATAGTTTTATGTTTTACTTCCGTAAAGAGAGAAACGCGCGTCAAGCTTATGAAAAATTTAGTAAAATTTACAATGAAGGTTGTCTAAAAGAACGTTGGTGCCAAAACTGATTAAATAATTGCTGGCTGGGCAATTTTAATCCCAAAGAAGTTCCTCAGTCAGGAAGACCCACCGATGTTCATAACGAGCCAATAAAGGCATTGATCATGTCAAACCCACGTTAACCCTTAAATTACAGCGGGGGTAGGCAAGCAGTGTACACCTTCACCTAGAGATTATTGGAAACGATATTTTTTGTATTCCATATTATTTTAAAGCAAAAACTACTATTTTTTTGAAAAGTATGATAAATGGCAATGACAAGTACAATATATAATACAACAATGTGGAACGCACACCATCTGGTTTGTTTTTCGACTAAAAACACAGGTTGTTCTAAGGACGGAGAATTATGAAGCTCACTGCAAAATGTCAAGGGGATATCGAACAAAGCGGAGCTGAACAGCATTGATTGATGATTAATCTATACTTCCATAATGACTTTTTACTCCACCCAATATGTGAACTAAAGAGGTAAAACGTTTTTCATTCGACACAAGATAAAAGTTTCTGCAATTGCCCAATTTTCTGTAAGATAAAACATTTGATTCGCGTTGCGGGATAAAATTTGCTTTGACAGCTACGATGAAATTTATGAAAAAAATTCTAGATTCCGCGCCAAGCGAAAAGATAGCCAACGGCCATATTGTTGACAATCAGCTGGTTTAATTTTTATTTTATTTCACTCCACAGTGGAGAAAATACAGTACAGTATTCTATCATTCTTGATTTCACCCCATTTCAAAGCATCTTGCGGAAACATAATAACCAACAACATTGCTGATATTTTAAAAACTTAATTTACTAAATTCACAGCAATTTTTACGGGCAAGGCTTTCTGCACATTTGTCGTCCAATCATTAAATAAATGAAAAATTATGTCTGGAATTATTGCGGCATAGTTCATAATTTTAAACTGGCATTTTTTTTGTAGAAATTTTGAGAAAATTTCAACCACTAAACAGAAACTATCTGGTCTAAATAAGTGAATGTTTGGACGGCCAATGAATTGAAATATCACGACCGATTGTGCGGAAGTGTAATCGTCATATTCTCGTTCTATGTACATGATTGTTGCCAGGGCCGTAGCCAGGACAATTTTTTTTTTCACTTTTATTTCAACGTAGTTTGAGTTATCATATACTACGTTTATGCGTAGGCGAATTCACGAAGTCATTTCATGGATTTGAGCTGAAATTGGCTGCATAAACACAATATCATGAATTCAATTATAATTATGAACGAAAATTAACCATGAATTTGGGAACCATTTCATGAAATCTTGATGTGGAAGTCCGGCAAGGCCAAGCTTAAAAAACAGCTGTTTACTAGGGTTATGAAGATTTTAGATCAAAAGCATGTAGTGGCATAACCATGACTTAAAACGCTGGAAAATTTACGTGGAATCGTTGTAATATTAAAGATATTCAAATAGAAGAAATTCAAATGCACCAAAACTAATTTATATATAACATGATGCAAATTCTAAAATGTACTAAAAAAACCACAACCCTACTGTTTAGTTTTCCGCTGGTGCGCTGCCACTTCACTTCACACACTTCATTTCATGTACATATTCGCGAATTGGGCATAAACGGAACTTTTTTTGATATCATGAAATGAAGAATTCGTGAATTCTGCCGCATAAACGTAGTAATAGTCAACTTATGTACAGTAGTCGAAAAAATTATAGCCGCATCAAATGTTGACAAGCTTTAAAATATCATTTTTGTTGTTATTTAATTTTGGCTAGTTTTTTATAGTTCATATAGTTCCGTATAAATACAAGTTTAAAGGCAGTGTCACACGATTGCGTATTTGCCGAAATTTGGTGCAAATCGTATCCGAATTGTGTGAATACCCAAATATCTTTCTTTATCCCAATCACGAAAAATAATTTGTTGAAATTTTTCAATAGAAGACCAACGAAAATTGTCCATTTTTTTGTACCGATAAAGCAATATAAAAATGTACAAGTCTGTACACATGTACCAATCGAGTGACACTGCCTTAAAAGTTTATGCAATTAAAAAAAATAAAGCACATTTTCGTAAAAATGTCTTGGATTTTTAATGAGATTGTGAATATGCAATAAACCTCAAGTTTTAAATACCTAAAAATTACGGTTGATTTTTTAGAATTTTTAAAAAAGCTCGAAATTTGTACGAAAGTTTGTTGAATTTTTTTTCAATTGCACAAAGCTTGAAACTTGGATTTAAACGAGTTTTATAAAAGAATGAACTATATTTTTATAAAAAAATAACCAAAAGTAAATAACAACAAAAATAATACGTTAAAACTTGGCAAAAAGTGGTTCAGCTATAATTTTTTAACCACCTACAACACGGTCCACCTCTGACACGGTCTTCAAACAGCAGTTAAATTTTTCAACAATTAGATATTTTCCAGTAGGTCTGTCGAATATCCGTTGGTTCATTACTATCATTAATATTATTATTTTAAGTTTCGAAATTTGTATAACCATCTTACCATTATTTTTGTGGGCTTAATCTACATACATACATAGTATTAAATTGCCTATTTAAAATACTATATAGCGATACATTCCTACCGATCTCCGCCTAGACCAGGATATGGATTGAAAACAACAACATTGCCACCATCAATACGCAATGGCTATAGCTCCGTAAGTGTAAACATAAAATTCTGCTGCTTCTATAATGGTGCGCAACTCATGCTATACGGCTCGTTTGAATTGTTGGTGATTGGTATTGCTACTGCGTTTAATGTTGGAAACAAACTCATTTGTGATTAACACCCTATATTATCATTAACAATGTCTTACTGGTCATAAACTGTCAAATGTATAGACTTAGCAACAAAGTAACCTTATAAAATATACACACATACATATGTATCCACTCTCTCTTGGTACATATACTCGATCAAAGCATAACGTATGTACTATACCACCGTTGTTAAATTAGGTTATAAACGTCAACAAACAGTTATTGGACAACTGCGCTGAGCAATTTCCCCCCCTTCTGCTTTTTCTGTTATTATTGCCGACTTACTTTAAAGTTAAATATTGTAAAAGTAATAATAGCTTTGATATATATGTATATAAACCTGTTACGATGTGGGCCACATGAGAGATATCAAATACGTATTCGATGTTCACTCGATATACCAAAGAACGGACAACTTAACACAATCTTTCAAATTCTGTCCTTTTAAAATATTTCACGCTCCTGATCCTTGCACTGCATACTGTGTATTAAATACATATCTACGCAAAGCAGAGCTACATATTTAATATTTACTAGGATTTTTAATTTTTAACGGTTATATTCATATTTAATACTAAGTTCTGCTTTAATAGCCCGCACATGTATGCACATTAGGGTGGTCCTTAAATGTAGGAAGCAAATTTTTACATCAGATTTTCTAAGCCTCAACCCTTTGTCGAGATGCTACTATACTCGAAGATATTACATATAAATTTTGGTCCCGATTGGAGACGGTTAAAGCGTGTCGCACAGGGGGGAAAGTTCATATTACTCTATGGAGACTCAACAAATTAAGATTGATTTTTTTTTTTCGTCTAATACCCAAAATCGATACTACCGTAGGTGAAGATATCACCTATAAATTTTCGTCCAGATTGAAGTCGGTTTAAGGCGTGGGGCACAGGGGTAAAATTTCAGATTACCCTTTGGAGACGTCTTAACCGACTCCAATCAGGACCAAAGTTTAAATGTGATATCCTCGACGTTAGTACATAGTATCATTTTGGGTATTAAATTAAGAAAAAATATTTTTAATGTTTTGAGTCCATAGAGGCATCTGGCCTTTGACCCCTTTGCGACACTCCTTAACCTACTCCAATCGGGACCAAAATTGATATGTGATATCTTCGACTATGGTAGTATCGATTTTAGGTATTAGATGAATGTGAACTTTGCCTCCTGTGCGACAAATTTATATGTGATATCTTCGACTACGGTATTACCGATTGAGGGGTTGAGAATGAAAAAAAATTGTTTTTATATGATTTTCAAGGACCACCCTAATGTGCATACGTATTTATCTATCAGTATTAATGTTTTACAATGATCTTTACATTTTGCCGAATTTTTCTTGTACTCACTATCAATTCTTCCTCTGAATTGTCAATGTATTTTTTCATTCAATGCTGCTTTTTGCCTTATGATCGTGTATATTACCCTTGTGGTTCGACAAATATTCGTATAATACTTGCACTATTGCGCATTCGGTGCTGGACGACGTCTTTTGCATTTAACAACGACAACAACTACACCAAAATACGACAATTTAAAAATTATATTCTGGTGACTGGTGATTATTTACCACTTAACATAAATTTATCAACAATAACTACGCGCCATCGTTCATCCTCATCAAATGGTAAACTCTTCATAATCGTCGTCGATCATGTTTTGACTGTCAAATTTCGCAAATCATATACATTCATACATATATGCGCTTCATCTGCAATACATTGAACACTTGCTTGGACGCTTCATTCTACTCTACACGCCATCAACGACGTCATCATCTGTTTTGTGGCCAATATTTTTGCGCTTGCATGCCTATACTGTTACAAACACGCATATAATACGTACTCATACGCACGCCCATATGCACATACATGCATTTGAATTATTAATTGTATGTATGTATGTATGCATACACATTTGTCACACACAGTGGTGAGCGCCTTGCGGCATGTCCCTAAGCCAGGATACGGCTTAGCTCCACGCTCACATACATTCAGTGCGGCCGGTGGTACTTCTGCTGTGCACCCTGTTGCTACTGTAAGCGCTTTCTATGTGTAGCTTTTTATGAGAATGCTTAATGAGACCTTTCGATTTGATTTTTTTAGATACTATTTTATTAGAATTAATTTTTAGAACCTATGTGTATTCCTATTTGTTTGTGTTTTCTATATTAATTAATATCACTTCTACCATTTTTTCAAATTATTGTTGCTTTTCCACAATTAGTTTTCACTGAAAACGGCCTCGAGCTCATACAAATTGTTGAATATAATTGTTATAAAGGCCATAAAAATAACAAAAACAAATATATTAATTAATTATTTTAAAATTTTCTGTAAATCGGACGACTGTGGCCGATTTGATAATTTCTATTGGCACATTCTTTATTTTGATAATTAGTCTCATAAAACCAGAAACTAATGACTCCACTTGATAAAAATAAATATTAATTATATATAATTATTTCTTCGGATAAAGATATCTTCTTTTTTACATAAACTAACTTACTTTTTGCTTACAATATTTTTCGATTATATTTAATCTATAATTTTAATATTTCCGCTCATACATATTATGCCGACATTCAGAAGATTCGGGCTAAAATTTATATTCGTTACGCTAGCTGACCCACTTTTCCAAATTTTTAAGGGTCACAAAAATTAATTTAGGTGCTCACTTAGTTTTTGAGAAATTCAGAAAAATGTTTATGGGTCAGGTGGCGTGATGGAATTAGGAGCTATTTAGGTACTTTTTCGGGTCGCCAAATTATTTGAGCTGCTCACATATGTAGTTGTAAAAGGCATGTGATCTAGGAGGCACAGTCGATCATTGTCAATTGAATAATAAATTTCTTTTCTGAATATATCAGTTTTCTTTTAACTTTTCTCTGATTCATATGTAACCTTTGCTTGAATAAACAATTTAAACCGAAGATCGGCGTTTATCCTTGACATGGTTTCCAAGAAATTCGCAAAAATGTATGACCCACTTATTAAATTTTGTTCGGACACGGATAAATATTATTGAGAAATGTGGTAATACTGGGTGTTTTTAAGGGTTGCCAAAATTATTTGAGCGAAAAGTATTGGATCAGGGCTACTACATGCACATCTATTGGCCGTTATTATTTTTAACACGATCTTTCTTTCAAGTAATATTGCCTGAGTAATATTTTGGCGCAAAATAAGGTATTTAAACTTACCAGGCAATGAAGATTGGACGTACACTTAAGTAAAAGTGTTGTTTTGCATTCAACAATTCTTTTTCCGCTTTTACATTCTTTCGTTAAGGTTTGGTTTTCGTTTTTTGGTTTTTTGCTTTTGTTTTTATTGGCACGGCATGAAATTTAATTTATGTTATGGGTCTTAATTTGCACATTCGTAGACTTTCTTATTTATTACTTCACAAAAATTTACTAGTCATCCGCACATATTAATTTCAATTGGAATTTAAACAAAACTTACATCAAGTGAAATATATATTTACACATAATTTTAACTTTCACTATTTACCAATCATTAGGACTTTTCATATGGAGGTTTTGTGGATAAAACTCATAGTACAGACTTAAGTTGTGGGAAATCAGAAGGTAAGTTTCACTAGTGAAATTCCATTACTATATCGTTTGTTTTCTAGAGGAACGTCATATCTAGAAATACAAAACGGCTTAAGGTTCTTACTTAGGCATTTCACATTAACAAAAACAAATAGCTAAAGCAATATAAAAACTATAAACCTAAATTTTAATACAGAGCATAAAGCTGCCGTCAATGCTTACTTTCGTAATTTACTTTGTCAAATAATGATGCGTTTTTTTTACACAACATAAAAAATTGGCTTACAGCCATTTCAGCATACTTAACCGCAAAAAATTTATTTATTTTGATTGCCCCTTTCTCTTTTTGTGTTCGAGTCTAAATTAAAGGCAAAGCGTGAGAAAATTTTGTGTTCAATTCTTAAAATGTCACACTCTTGTAAGGAAAAAAGGCACATTCTCGGCCATGTGAAGCTATGTCAGGGGAGGTGGTTGCCCTCAAAATCAGATGGTTGTTTAAAACGACAATATTATGAAATGCGTGAGCTAGACAAGGACAAGAAGCCAAAAACATGCCATTTTGCAGGGTTGAGTGTAACATCAAACACATTTTGCACTGGGGAAGGGCAACATTTTTTGGAAGAAACAAAATCAAAAACACAAAAACAAAATCAAAAAATTAGATCATGACGTTCTACCAGCAAAAGGGCGATATAGCTAAAGTGTAGTTTTAAATATGTTTATATTTTATTTAAAACTTTTTTACCATAGCTTCAGTTGATTCCATTACTGATGGTGATAGACGTGCTTTAGTAAGTACTTTTTATCCACTCTAGAATATAGACTTTTCTTAATGTATTTTATATCTTTTATCTATTTACAGATGGGTGGCGAGCTTCCCGCTTCTAGCACATATTCGGGTGTTTTGTCCTACCATTATCCGCAAGCTGGTTTAATACGTCGCAGTCTACCCAACATGGCACACTCTTTGCTCGTTCACGAGCCGGCTAAAATTTATCCTTATCATTTATTAGTCATCACAAACTATCGTCTACCAACAGATGTTGATCGCTGCAACTTAGAGGTTCTTAGAGTTTCTATTTCCCTATTCAATATAAATGTAAATACATATATTAACGCAATTAAATATTCGTAGCGTCATTTATCGGATGTAGAATTCGAGCATGTTTTGCAAAGCTCTCGATCCGAGTTCTACCGATTACCCCAATGGAGACGAAACGAACTGAAACGCCGAGCAAAGCTGTTCTAAGCGAAAACACAAACGATGGATTATTGGCTGAACGTTAGGACTGTCTAAATACACACAAGCACCTGCGATTGTTCGTAGCTAAGAAGAAAAATTAAAAAATATGTATACAATATATCGTGATTACAAACGATTATTCAAATTAAATAGGCTCATCGTGTACACTTGCTTTATCGTAGCAAAGCAAAATGAAAAGAGTCAACGTCAATAGCTTCGTCGCTATTCACGTCTGCTACACTCACAAGCGACAAAACTAAACATAGAAACTTAATGCTGCAAACGAAAAAAAAAACACGCTCCAGACAGACCGCCCCTTTGTAACCAAATCGATTACCAACTATCTTCTAATAGTAAATAAGATTAAGTGGAATTGCCTGAATGCAAATATTGACCGATTAAAAAAAAAAAAAACAAACAAATCTGACAAGCTTTACAGCTTTACATTACGAGTATGCAAAAAGAGTAAAACTTAAACAAAATCTGAGCTTTTCTATTTTATGTAGCATATTTTGTTTGCAATTATATTGTATTTATATATACCTGTATTTTTTTAATTATATTAAAAGAGAATATGGCGAAAGCTTATACTCGTACTACACATGTATGTATGTACGTACATACTGCTGCTCCCAAAATTGAGCGTACGGCTCTTTTCTGTTAATATTCGCAATGTTTTACATGTTAAAGATTATTTGTCAATTTTGTATTAAAATATGGCTTATATTTTAGAATGATACTGTTTACAAAAATTAAGAAAAATCTGTTAAGTTGAAATTAAACATTAAAAAATCGTATTAAAAAGTTCGCGTTTTTGCTGAAACTTTGCAGATTTTTCTTAATTTTTGTACAAAGTATCGTTTTTGGATTTAAATGGAGTTTGCTAAAATATAAGCCATATTTTAATACAAAATTGACAAATAATTTTTAACACATAAAACATTGCGAATATTAACAGAAAAGAGCCGTACGCTCAATTTTGGGAGTAACAAGTACATATATAAATATGTATGTATTTATGTAGGCACGTGCATACATGCATTTGCATGCATAATGAATTCTAATGATTTCTATATATTTTCATTTCCTTTATGCATTTGTATTTATTCGCGTATTTATAAGCCGAAATAGGTAGAAAAGCAGAAAAGATGCTAAATTACTATTTTGCTTTCTAAAAACAACACAGACATAAGAAAAAATGCAATTAAGATACTACAAACATGCCGAAATTCTGATAATTGCATCCAAAAAATATGTATTTACAAATATATGCTTAAAACTTATTTAATGTGAACTTATAAATATATTTTATTTAGTAAGGAGATTGTGGTAAGTATGTTGAGTTTACATGCGGGCATATGTACTTATTAGAAAAATAACGAAAATATACGGAACAGTTACATATATTAAAACTTACTATTTTTTTTTGTTAATTTTTAATACAGTATCACACCTTCTCGTAATTAATAAGTAAATAGTGTAAATCGACGCTGTCGTGAGATCCCTTTTACCATCCCTTTTTTAAACCATAGATGATTTAGAAAACCCGATTGTTACTGCGACAAAGAAATTGAAGAGTATGTTGAAGAAAGTCAGAATAAGAGGAAACATACATAAATATGCTCTTTTTTGGAAAAAGAACAGCCTCCAAGGTACTTTCAATGTTGGATTCAAATGAATACGTGGCTGCAAAAATTAAAAAGAAATTTTGAATCTGACGCCCAACTTCCTGTAAAATATACTCCGATGCCAAAGCTCGAAATGCAAAAGTTGACGTAGGTTCGGTTTTCCACGGAAGCAAAGTCAGCAGGTTTATCGATCGGGAGGACTATGGGCAGGAGGTCGGGTGCAAGCGTCAGTATAGGTTGCCACGTTATGCTGTTTATAGCTAACAATTGCTAATCTGGCGAGCTACTGCCCATAATCATGGTGGGTGCATCGTCGTACATTGTGCAGAACAGGCTTGAGATCGTGGTGCGCGTTGAACGACTGAGCAGCAAAACAGTAGCCCACGTAGTCGCTCGTACAAGCTCGCGCAGTGCGCAGTCCTGAAAATTACTTAAAGTGACACCAGCTAAGGCGGAAATTGCACTTGACTGATGTCACGTTGCGGTTTTTTCTGGATCGACACACCGAACAGATTATCTGAGGAACTAGGATCTGCTGGCGGCGGCGTCTGGGTTGGGTGCGTTTGTATCTGTCTATGGTTGTGTTATGTTGGGGTATGGTCGGGTTGGTGTTGTGTTGCTCGGGTGAACTCTGGTGTACCATGTTTACAAAGTAAGAGTCCACGAACGATTTCTGGCTCTGGGTTTGAGTCTATGGTAGCCCTGATTTCAAAATTTTATTGAAAAACACCCTATCTCAGAATTTGGTTGAAGCACGCCCTATCTCAGAATTCGATTCGAAAACGCCCCATCTCAGCTGAAAATACATTGAAAGTGTGCTGAGGTAGGGCGTTTTTGAATCGACTCCTTAGATAGGGCGTTTTTCGACCAAATTCTGAGATAAGGCGTTTTTCAATCAAATTCTGAGGTAGGGCGTTCTTGAAAAGTTTTCTGAGATAGGGCGTTTTCGAACTGGATGCCGAGATATCAATATAAAGTACTTTGAGAAGTGATGAACAGTCTGCTATTATTTTACTTTTTACTTTTCACAAATAAAAAACTGGTCTGTGTGTGGTTTATTTGTATAAAAGGAGTGTGATTTTAGAAAAATAATACGTGTGTTCATACTTTATTCCACTTTAATGTGCAACTTTGCAATATCAGCTAAGGAATGTTTCGGAAGGCTTGTGTGCTTTGTTCAGTGCATTGTACTCAATCGGAATGTCGCTATTTTATTATTTCTATTTTCGGATGTTGCACGTTATCCTTTGCATGAAGATCATACGTGAGTAGAGATTTCATGACAGTCAAAGTGCTTCCAATTATTTGCTTGTGATAAATTTGACGAGTGGCAAACCTATGGGAAAACATTAAAATAGTTAACATAAATTCATTTGAACGTTTGCATACTATACAATACCCCATATTGTCAAAAAAGTCACGTTCTTCTTCTTGCCACTCTGAAATTGTGCATTCCAATGAACCACATCCGTTAGCTATACATTTTTTAGATACTAGATTGAGCATTGGTTCGGCGACTTTTTGAAATGGATATTCCGGCGCTACAGCAAAACGAAACATCCAGGCCGCGTTATATAGTGAATTGTGCTTTTTTACACTTACGGTAGCAATTATCTAAAAAAATAAAATCATAATTTATATGTACATTCGCCTTGGAAAAATATTTCTTTTGATTTTTCTTGAGAGCTGTATTCTAAGCTTAAGCAGTCATAAAAGGGGGAATGTTTAGTTATTTGCCCACTGTTTTTGGATTGGGGCATGGCTCACCGACTAGAGAGATGACAATACGATTCATAGTATTTTTGCGCAAAACCCACTCCAAAATTCGCAGTGCATTTTTCGAACGGATTTTTTTTAATTAATGACCAAAAATTAAAAAAAAATAAAGTTTAGACCATGATGATGGTTTAGACCCTTGCCTACGAGTAATTTTTTTTTGTATTTTTTGTTTTGTTTTTTGTTCGTGACCAATAAGGGCACAATGGCCAGAAATCATTGGGCAATAACTAAACCGTATACATTAAAAGTACGTTGTCCTACCTTTTTTCTAAATTTGTTTTGGTATGATTGCTCATAAGGCGATTCTTCTAAAAAAATTTGATACGTCGCTTCTCGGGGATTAAGGCGAAATATAAACGGCTCGTAACATTCTGCCACTAAGGATTGTGATGCCTTCATCTATTGTTGAACTATTTGGAATTAACTAAATTTGTAATGTGTATTTCATTAATTCACCTTCATCAGTTCGACTGCTTTCGCATAAAACGAAAAATAGGTGCCTGAGAATAAGAAAAATATGCAGCCTGGTATTGTCATTGCACAAAAATGCAATGGTACTCCAATGAAAATAAAGAGTATAGCCCATGTTATAACAATGAATTGCAGAGTGATCTGAAAAAGATGGTAAAATGTATAGTTACAAACATACCTAAACCTTTCTTCAAATACAATCCTGCATTGAATTAACCCACCTCTCTAAAACAAAAACAGTAGAAGGACTTTTTAACAAACGACATGATATAATCGCGCACCAACTCTTGGCACTTAAGTTCATCATCATCACGATAGTTGCGTATTACAATGAATGGTTGCATTTGTAACACAGGCGTATCCACCTGCTTATAATAAGTTTATTAACTATTCTCACGGAGGGCCGTCGAACTTTGCAAGGACTCGTGAAAAAAATCCAGACATCAAAACATACCGCAATTGAGATGACACTACGGAAGCGCAAACTATATCGATAATAGACATCGACTTGCGCAGTATTAACCGACCACATAGTGTCATACATCGTACAGTTCCATTAGTAAAGTAAAGACTGTAAAGGCCGGTCCACATAGAACTTTCGCGTTGGCTTTGGCGTTGGCGTTGGTTTGACAGAACGCACGTTAAAAGTATGCTTGCTACAATGAACGCTTGGCAGCGAATCCTTGGGCCTCTAAATTAACATATTAACGACAGATAAATTAATATTTCATATCAATAATTGCATTTAAAACGATATTTCTTGCCCGCACTTGATTAAAAAGGAAAAATATTTCACATAATTTTATTTATTCGCAACAGCTGACGAGCGACGCACGCGAAAAGTTGAGAGTTGGCCATCTTTTTGCTTTGTGTTAGCGTGAGCGTTGTCGAATTTTGGCTATGTGGACGGCTGCATTTGAATTCATGTATTCATAGTCAGCTGTTGAAGCGACACCAACGCCAACGCAACGCCGAAGTTCTATAGGCCCGTTTACATACAACTTTAGCGTTGCGTTGGCGTTGGCGTCGCTTCGACAGCTGACTATGAATACATGCATTTATATGAAAGTCTCCATATAACCAAAGTTGGGCAACGCCAACGCCAACACAACGCAGAAAGATGGCCAACTCTCAACTTTTCGCGCGCGTCGTTCGTCAGCTGTTCTAAATAATCAAAATTATGTGATTTAATTTTAATTTTTAATCAAATGCGGGCAAGAAATATAGTTTTTAATGCAATTATTGATGTAAAAATTTTGATTTATCAGCCGCTAGTATGTTAATTTAGTGACCAAAGTATTCTGTGCTAAGCGTTCATTGTAGCAAGCACGGGCGTTACGCGCGCCGCTGTCAAAGCGACGCCAGCGCCAACGCAACGCCAAAGTTGTATGTGGACGGGCCTTATGTGGACGGGCCTTTATGCATACTTGGCATTGCTTGAGAGCTGTCACATAAGGAATCTGTTAAATGAGCTTCGCGTTTAAGCGGTTACTCAACGCACAGCATTACATACGTAGAAGTCTGTTGGTTTCTGATTTCTACGGTTCGAATCGCTGAACCGAACCGACAAAATTTTTCATCCGGTTCACGTCCCTGATAGTTTTTGAAGTATAAGCTTTTGAAAATGTTGAAAATTCCACGTTTATCGCCCCCTAGCTCCGCCACTGACAATTTGCACCCAAAAAAATATGCCGTTAAAATCACAAAAAGGGGCTCGCGCCCACTTTTTTTTCTCTAACTGAAAGGTCCGGATTTTTTATGTGTTCCGCGAATAAATGAATGAATTTCAGCACCTAACTGTATTGATTTCGGTTTTTTGCAAATTTTCGGCATTTTTAATTGTATTTTAGCCAAGAGTCATAGAGATAAGATGGCGGGATGTTATGGAAAATACTATGAAACGAAAATTGCTTCACAAAATCATGGTTGATCTGCCACAAAGCCACTTTACGCGTCTACTTACACCTTTTCACAAAGGGCCGTTCCAATAAAGCCTCGTAAACCACTTGTATACATTATAGAAATTAGAAAATTTTTGTTGAGAAAAAGAAGTACAACAAGGGATTTCATAAAAATGTTTTTTAAAAGCGCCATTTTGGCACTTTGTGCCAAGTTGAAAAATTAGGTGCCATTAGAAGTAAAATAAGGTCAAAATGGCACGGTTTGAGCCAAGTTGGCAGCCCTGGTTGTATTTCCCTTATAAGAGTTACTAAGTCAAACTCATAAATATCTACATACATAAATGTTAAGACCTTAAATAATAAACAAATTATTTGCCTTTAAACTTGTAACATTATTCATAGTTTTAATAAATTTATTTCTGCCAACCAAAAGTATCAAAATGGGGCATATGTGAACAAAAAATACCAAATCTTAAAGTTTCGAAAAAAGTATCAAAAATGATACAATGGTATCAAAACGGCAACGCTGTCTTTGACTGCGAAATCCAGCGGCTAGTTCGCATTTTTGCAATTGTTTAATAAATAATTTTGATAATCTTCAAAATTTTTAACTCGTGAAAAACTTTGTGGATTTCACTTCACATAAAAACAGTTCAAGTTTATCCCAAGAAAGCAATAAAAAACCCAAATCTGCTAAAGTAATATTAAGCCCTGAACTTTATTGGGTGCTATTTTAAGTCCTTGTAATGGAGGAGTCACCAAATGTAGAAGCTGAGGAAACAATGTCTGAGGAAAAGCAGCCGGATGTTAGCAGTTCTGCGAATTCCACTAAGCTGAAGCGGGAGCGCAAGGAAAGGGGCTTCATATGCGGTGTAATTGAAGGTAAAGTTGAACGGTTTTGCATGCAACATTCGTGTATTCACGAAAATTTACCATGCATTTTTATAGGCTTTTATGGACGGCCATGGACAACGGAGCAACGTAAGGACCTATTTAGAAAGTGAGTAACCAGATAGTTTGCGAATGTCATAAATGCTAATCACCAAGTATTATTTAGACTTAAGAAATGGGGCATGGACTCATACGTCTATGCGCCTAAGGATGATTACAAGCATCGAGCATATTGGCGCGAATTATATACAGTAGAAGAAGCTGATCATCTTACAAGTACGTACATACATGTATTAAGGAACAGCTTCAGAATTTTATTTTTGATGACTAATGACTACTATTTTTCGACTTTATGGAATTTCATAATTCTCTACAGGTTTAATAACGGCAGCTAGAGAACACGATGTAATGTTTTACTATGCTCTTTCCCCTGGTTTGGATATGTCATACAGCAGCCAAAAAGAAATCCAAACCCTCAAGCGAAAACTCGATCAGGTTTCGCAATTTGGTTGTGAAGCATTTGCTTTGCTCTTCGATGATATCGACTCGGAATTGTCTAAAGTGGACAAAGAAGCGTTCCAGACATTTGCCAATGCACAAGTAAAATAGTTTTAATAGTCATAAACTCAAAACAGAAAAGTAATTTGTTATATTTTTTAATTAGGTCTCGGTTACAAATGAAATATATGCACATCTAGGCAACCCAAGATTTCTCTTCTGCCCCACGCAGTATTGTAGCTCACGAGCTATGCCTACAATACACGATTCCGAGTATTTAAACACATTAGGATCCAAACTTAATCACGATATTGATATAATGTGGACTGGAAATAAAGTAATCTCTAAAATAATAAGTCTCGAATCAATTCAGGAGATAACGGAAGTATTACGTCGACCGCCAGTTATTTGGGATAACTTGCATGCTAATGATTACGACCAGAAGCGTGTTTTCCTTGGACCATATTCAGGTCGTTCGCCGGAGTTGATTCCGCACTTACGCGGAGTCATGACGAATCCCAACTGCGAGTTTCACGCTAACACCATTGCCATTCACACTTTGGCCAATTGGTCGAAATGTAGCCTTGATTCCAAAGTAAATAGTAAGTTATCAATAGAGTTTTTGTATATTCCTGTAGGCGCTTTACTTATGAATGCATTCACATTCGATAAAAAGGTTCTGTTTCCGCGGATATTAAACTGGAAACCGAAAACGAAGACGGTACGACCGAAGAAGAACTGCCCGTAGACAGCTTATCAAAAAATATGTATCACCCACGTATTGCATTAAAGTAAGATACACAAAAAATATGTAGGTAGTAACATTTTATAAGAATTTGATATCATTTTTTAATTTAGAAACGCTATAGATGAGTGGCTACCTGAGTTCTTTTTAGAAAAAGAGGCTTGGGGTCCTATTACGAAGCCGCAACCACAAGTTACAAGTAAGATTACATTCCTTATAAATTTTTCTTTAATTATCATGCTATAATCTCTACGATTATTCAAATGCAGTGGTTATGCCTATTATACCAATTTTACCATCTATAAATACTTGTATGAGCTTGACGACAACAACTACTACATCCACTAGTACCAAAACTCTTACTGTGCCAGAAGTGAACACCACTCAGCTACAAGCTTTGGCCGATGTTTGCAGCACCGTTAGTTCATCAGTTATTAATCCCATAGCCAATCCAGTAATGAATTCCTTAGTTTTACCCACAAAAGTTGTAACAAATGACGACATTGTAAATCCAATTCCTACGTGCGTGGCCTCAAATATTGAGTTGCCAAAAAAAATTCCCATATCAATCGTAGCAGTGCCAATAATGCACAGGAAAGCGGTGGAGGATATATTAACTAAAAATACTACGGAAGAAGCCGTTAAAGAACAGTCATCTGACTCTGGAATAATATCAGCGATCACGATTTCAGCACCGGGGACAAACGAAAGTAACTCGAGAGCTTCTAATGCTCCGACAATTGTGGCAAACAACACTGTTACAGATCGTGGGGAAAATGTGGGTGAAATCGCCAAGGAGGACGAAATGACTATCGAAAAGGCAGAACAGCTGAGTACCCAGTTACCACTGCTGAAAAGGATTAATGAAAAAAAGGCAGTAGAAGTTTCGAAAAATGAAATCGGGGGTATTATCATGGAGAAAGATGTAGATTTATTGGTAAATACCAGCGCAATACCGGGAGAAAGTGTTACTACTACAGGTTCGCTTCCCATGATAGACGAACACACATTAAGCCCGCTAAGTGCAATCAGCGCCGGTGGTAATGAACCGATGGAGTGCAGCAGCAGTTTAGCTTCGCAAGCGTCAGGAAAAGAAGATCGCAAATTGGTATCTGAGGATGTGGTGATGGCTGAAGGAGTCGAAGAAGATGATGTTTGCAATGGCTCGATGAACGAATTGAATGTAAGAAACTTTATAATAATATATTGTGTTTAATAGATCAAGTATTAACACACTCACTAACCTACAGAATAGCATGCAGGTTGAAAGCTCAGAAGGGTCACCCCTCTCAAATGCCGACATGAAAGACTATGAAGAGAAGTATTTTCTAATGTAATGGTCCACACGTATTTTATTAAATTTTGTTTATTTTATCGTCTACTTAGAACTATCCCTGGAGTCGGCAGTAGCAGCCTTATCACTGTGGAGGATCTTTACTTATTGTGTGATCTATTTTATCTCCCATTTGAACATGGAAGTCGGGGTTTTAAGCTTCTAAACGAGTTTAACTGGTTAAAAGCTAACGCAGGCGTTTTGTTAGGAAATGGCAAAGGCATTCGGAAATGTTCAAACGCTGATGGAGCGATGTCGCCCAAACCGGAAGTAGCAGAATGGATGCAGAGGGCGGAAGCGTTCTCTAACCACTGTAACGCAGTCCACGAGCTACTAAAAAAAATCGCCAATTGCGCCAATAAAGAGATATGCCACGATTTGTTTTCTTATGTATGGGACATTGCAGGAACTTTAACTCTCCTAAATGCGTTTGTAAAATGGTTAAGTCTGGGCCATTTCCCGTCTAACGTGCAAACATATACCCAGGGTACATACACATGTAAGCATAGCTCGGATAGAAAAGGGACGTCACATTATTTGTATGGGGTGTACTTTACGAAAACTATTTACAGGGTTCAGTAAGGGTTGGAAGGAGGCATTCATGTCCGGCGATCAAGAGCCATGGGTATTTCGAGGAGGGCTTATTGCCGATTTACAGGTAAAAAATTATATTAAATGATATTAAAAAATTTACTTATACTTCTCTTTTATTTTCCTTGTGAAGCGTCTGATGCCAGTGGATTCGGGTAACGATTTGTTTCTCTATAAATTGCCTGAATTGCCGACAAGTGATTATCACTTGCTGCGTCCGTACACGCCAATCGACGAAGCTGAGTTGGGCCAGGTGTGTACAAGAGCCTTTCTGCAGGTCATGTTACAACAAAGTGATGAAAAAACTGACGAATACGACAACATCCTCGAGACATTGTTACCCAGTCATTTGCGCGAACTTATAGCCGACAACATTGTTGGACATTTTGTGACTCTTAATCCTAATTTATGTATTGTAGCTCATGACGCTTCTAATGCCATTGTTGGATATGCAGCTGCTGCCTTGAATGCAAACACTTTTATGCGGAATGTTGAAGTCTGTTGGATACCTTCAATGAGGGAAAAGTACGCACCGTCTTTATTGGAAAAAGATAACTTCATCGATATTGCAAATGGCACAGATAGCGAAAAAAGGCGTGAATCTTCCGGACTTAACGTCCTCATGATTGAGATGATACGAGATTTTCACAAGTACGAATATGATTACCAGTGTCCGACCGAAGTAAGCAGTGCATATCCAGCTGTAATGACAGCCGCCGCCTTAAAAGATGCTCTGTCCCGCGATCAGGGACTTTTAAAGCGTCTGATAACAGTGACATTAGCTACATTACGTTCCAATGGCTGTTTCGGCGTGCATGTTCGCCTAACAGTAAAAGGCTCAGAAAACTTACAGCAGCATTATTCAAAGATAGGATTTACGAAAGTATATCATGACGGTGAGAACAAGTATATCTATCTTGGGCGCCGCTTTTAGCAACCGTCATATCAGGCACCGATCACTATTTTAAAAAAGTTGCGCCGCCTGTCGTCGAACAGTATAGAAGATTGATCATAAAGTATGCATACCGACACCCTCTCATCTTTATTTTCCTTTTTCTAATTTATGTATAAGAATACTTAGCATCTATGAAAACTTCAGGAACATTATATAAGCCGTTTATTTTGAAAGGCATATGTCACATCACAACTCGTGCTTATATAACCGGTTATCTGAAAAGTAGAAGGTTTTGTCGTGACCATAGACCGATTTACAGATGCATTCGGTTACAATAGCCTGTCATTTAAGCGCAAGAGTTACGAAGCGACTTATGCCACTTTCAAAAACTTTATTACAAACATCGGTTTTCGTTTTCTAAATTAAACTTTAGTCCATCATAATCATAAATATGTATAGTAAAAATGTCCACTTTTTATATGTGTTTGTATGCAATTTTCAACAATTTTGCCAAGCCTTATGACAAAGGGCTTGATTAATGAATAGCTTGACTCCATTTGCATAATTAGGTATATCACAAATACACCGCAAATAAAAACTCCACATAAATAACTACCATTTTTATTGCAAGGGCGCTTCCAATTATTTTGTATTATGCTCTCTTATTCGCGGTCGATTTAACTTTGTTTAAATTATAAAACCAAACTGTATCAATACCATCTCCAGCAACGCTTTGGGGCTGCAAACCCGGCAATGGAAACCGGCATGCAATAATTTTTGCGTTTTCCTTTGATTCTGCAATCAACTTGCTCTCCAAATCTTTCATCTAGAGAAAAAATATATGTATAATCAATAATAAAGCTGTTGATAAATCAACCTACCATCTGCTCTACTCCAAATATAACTATATAATCGTATGGCGCCACGCTGTATTTCCACAGATCTCGCCTATAAAAACGCGTTTGGCGTTTTACACCCTGTCGTAGAGCTGACAGTCGTGAATACCAAACCAACCAAGGGTTTAGTTCTACTCCATCGGCAAGTATACCATTTTTAGCAGCAGCTATAAAAAAAAGTTATTCCTAAGCTTTGTATTGTGCATTTAAGCTATTCAGATTTGGTATGCATCATAAACTAGTCTTTGTACCCACAACAATTCGTCCATCACCAGATCCTATGTCCAATAGCTTGCTTTGTGAGTTCTTAGGTAAGAAGCTGAGCACATTTCTAACCTGCTCATTTGTGGCTGGAACGTACGGCAGACAAATCCGTCGAAACGCTGGCGCTACGAAGGAAGCACAAATAACACTAAGTCCAACGCCAATCCCACCAGTGGCAGCTATTAGAATTTTCGCTGATGTGGATATTCCTTTCCTTTTTGTGGCACTGTCTTCGATTAAATACTCCATGCTATTTGAATGTTGTATGTTCGACCTGCTGATTCCATGATGTGATCCCAATAAACACCAAAAAAATATTTATTCAACCTTGAGAAATTCATAGTTCTCAAGTTGATACCCAACATCATTCTCCAACTCATCTTTGACCGACGCGTAGATACGTAAAAAGTGATAGAGAAACGAGTTTTTAATTATCAACTGAAAAACGAAAGCTATATGAAGAGGAAAATTATCAATAAAAATTAAATAATCTTCAAAATATCCGCAAATAATCTTGAAAGAAAATAAAAGGCTAAGTGAATCAAGAGGCAAAATTACTGTCGGACAATACATAAGGAGTAATAAAATGAAAAATTAATATTCAAATTCATCTATGTATGTCTATAAGCTATAAGGTATTCTACTATTCCAATTTCAGTATTTCAATGATATGTTTGAGACCAATTGGATAATTACATTGGAGTTCAAGTTGAGAACTAGCATTTTCTCAACTTGAGAAACAGTTCTTTTTTCATACAAAGAAAAATGCTCTTTTTGTTGAGAACGCTATGATCCTCCACTTGAAGTACTGTTGAGAAACAACGTTGGAGATTTGAGAAATACCTTCTCAACTTAACCTCAAGTTGAGCTCAAACCTAAATGTTTGTTGGGTATGTAATTGGTACAAGGCGAATTTATACAATGTGGTCAAGGCGAATTTATACAAGGTGGTGTTACTGGCGAATTTAGATTACAACAACGACAACCATATGTATTTTGTGTGGAAGGTGTTATGTCAAATCTCAATTCTCTCCAAAGTATACAAGTACTGTTTTTGCTTTTGATGGGTGTGCTGTCAAATCAGAAAAGCAAAAACAAAATACATGTAAGGCGAAGAGATCAGCTGATTTTACAACACCACCTTGTATAAATTCGCCTTGAAGGTGGTGTTGACGGCGAATTAAATTTTCGCCGCGGTACTACTGAATGTCAAAATGATGTGTTTGTTGTAAACAAGGCGAATTCATTTTAAAACAAACACATCATTTTGACATTAACAAGGCGAATCTATACAAGGTGCGCTCGTTTAAAATCTCCAGCAGAAACCAACCAACTGCCAAATTCCGGCGAAATGTCATCTGTTCTCTCACAAGAGAGAAATATCCAAAATAGTACGCGAACAGAAAATTTGCAGAAACTTGCAAGTTAGACGAACAGCTGATTGAAATTTTGTTTACATTCAAAAGTGTAAAATTTAAAGCGTACGAAAGCTCATTACAAAGTGGTATCCTGACACAGTTTATTGATTAAACAAATAACTACTTACTTCTTACAAGTTTAATTAGTCGCATTTTGCCATTTTTAACTTCCAAACCATCAAATTCAATTTTGTGATTTGCGTAAATTCCTACTAGCTGTTTTTGATCAGCTGTTTCCCTGTTGGCAAATTGCTGTTGGCAAAAATTTTTCCAGCAGAAACTAACAGCTTCCCTTCAAAATGAAATGTCACTTTGCTCTCTCATTTTCCCCTACTTTGCAAGTTTTTTGCGTACGCGAACGCAAAAACCTGTAAGTTTTGGTTAAACTTGAACAATTAACGCGAGCGCACCTACAAGGTGGTGTTATCGGATCCGCTGATTTCAAGGCGAATTTGTACCTTTTGTCAAAATCATCAAAACGGAGTCTCCACGAAAATGTCCTGAATTTATACGGTAGCAATCTATAGCAATGACTTTTGTATGTGTGTCTGATTCATATTTGTGACATTCTATAGTTTGATGTTAAATATTTTTGAGGAGCTCAAACTTGGGTGTGCTTAATGAACTGTCTACGCGGATGCGCTGTTAGGCGCTAAATTCATAAAATAAAACAAATTTCACGTTTTTCATAAAGATATAATCTTAAAATATTTATGTTTTAAATTTTTAACTTGCATTTAAAAACTCCATTAAGTGCCATAAATACGATTTGAGATTCCAGCCGAGAACTTTTCTAATCATGAAGCGAAATTCCCCACAGTAAGTGTTGCCATGTCCATTTTTTTGCAGAGTTGCAACCATTTATTACTATGGACTGCAATCTAATGGGTCGATTATCGTTAGCAACTGAACTTCAGTTGCGTTGTTAGTTGCCGAAACGTTATTTCAGATGGCAACAGGCAACTGCGCTCGCCACAGAGTGTGTCAGCTTCTTTTGGAAGTCCTCAGTATGCTTTCAAAATTAGCACACTTATAAGAGAAAAACTTTGAAAGCATTTACATTAATGTGCTTTCAAAATGAACACAAAACGATAATAAATAAAAGAAAAACCTTGAAAGCATTAACTTTTGCTTACAGTGCATGCGGTAGCTCCAAAGGATTGGAATTATCCTTCAAATGTCGCTTGATTGAGGCCGCGTTCATACACTTCTCTTCTTCTTAACCCTTTCACTACCGTACTATAAGCAGCGTACTTACAAAATTTTAGGTATTTTTCGGGTAGATATAATATGCAATAAGACAAAAAAAAAAATAAAAAATCGAATGTCCTTCAAATGGAAAATATGTCCTGGGATTATTTGTCCCATTGGGCTGTTTACATAACATTAATTGGGACTAAACATCCTATGGGTCATATTTATTTGAAAGTAATGAAAGATAGTTTTGACTTCCTAGTCTGATATTTTATTTATCAAATTTATCAAAGCATTCAAAAATGAATGGCTCTTTACATATTGAACATATATGTATATGCATCGGTCTTCTTTTATGGGCATATGATCCACCATATACTATCTTTTTGTGCTTTTGTGAGCTAGGACCTTTAGTTATAAGTATTCTTTTGTCTTTTGTGAGAGCTCCACTTTGCGCAATGGACTGCTCAACAAATGGAACCAAGAAGCCACGTGCGCATTCAATAGTGTTTGATGCCAAATAATTGCTATAAAAAATTACGCGTTAATTAAAAGAACCCAAAAAAGCTGATTTTGAAAAGAAAATACTTATTATATTATTATTATCTTATTCAAATACAGGGCGAACTGCATTTTTGTCGATCTTTTAAATCTCCCTTGGGTTGCAAGATCCCCATGGCAGTGAGAGGGTTAAATAAATAATTGTGATGAACTTAGTTTTATTGCTGTATTTTCTTTAAAACTTTTTATTTTAATAATTTAAGTTTACTAGCACAGCTTGTTTTCAACCACTTGCCGATTGTCGAATTGTGAAATTTCGATTATCGATAACTGCCGCAACTGACGATAGTTTCCTTCCAGTTGCGTTGCCAACTGGCAACCGAACCGTGATTGCGTTTCTATCCGTAATCGACCCTTAAAAAATTTACTACAAGTTTTTTTCATTTTTTAGTTCTTTAATTTAGAGATATGTTGCTGATAAACACGCTTTTAAATACTTATTCTCAAAACCAATCACAAACACATAGTTGTCTTGTAGCGTGATATTAAGGGTATTCATCAAACCTTATAAATGCATTGTAAACCGTATAAACTTATAATTGTGTAAACCTTATAAATGAACCGTCAAAAATGTTTGGAAACTCGTTTACACATTTCTGATAAATTTATCCAGCGATTTCACTGAATAAACTTGATAAACTGAAGACAATGCAACTCTGCCGCACCTCTAGCTATGTTTTCTTAGGCAATAATCGGGATCCGCATACAAATTTTGCACGCAATTTCAACAACGATATGATCCTGATAGAGATCTGGTTCAATTATTATCCCGTCTGTTTGTTTTGTTTCACTGATAATTCGCAAAGTTTGGTAGCCGTGACAAATGAATTCATACACAAACAGACATTCTGCCATTGTTTCTTATAACTTGCTTCAAATAAATAGCCTTTATGTTATATGTACATTTATTTAAATAGATATCTCGTAAATATAATTTTTTCCAATTTAGTGAGGTAGTTTCTATAATTTCTTTATACCCGTGCTAGTAGTATAAAGTTAGTGACACTGCGCTTTATAACCAAAGAAAACACGACTATTGTCGCAGGTGTAAGGTCGGTGTTATGCAGAAATTTTGTTTGGCAAACTGCGTGCAATTGTTGTTGCAGCAAACTCGGAGAGAGCGAGTTTGGCGACTCTCACAGCAAACTAATTTTGTTTGGTCAAACTGCAGCAAATTCGGTGTTGTCATATACAAAAATTTTAAATTTTGCGCGTTATGTACATCTGAAATTCTCATTTCGTGTTGGCAATAGCCATGAAAACCATAATGAACGTGCAACCCTGTGCCAAACTCGACATAACCACCTCCGAGCAAACTAAGCAGCCGCCATTTAATTTGGCAAACAAAAGTTTGTCTGCATAACACCGACCTAAACGAAAAGAGAGTGTAGGTCGTTCATGTAACACCCGATTTACATGTTTCAAGTACTTGAAAGCACTCATTCTCTTTTGCGTTTTCTATTTGCTTTTACACGTTTCAATTCTGTTGAATTCAAGTTTTTGGTTCTTTAAATGGGAAGCAACGAAAATGCCAAAAGCAAAGCAAGAAAGTTGAAACGACTTGACGGTACAGACGCATGTGTACTCGTCCCTTTTCTTCTCACCCCCTCTCTTCCACATGCGAGCAGACTTGAATTCAATACTTGAACTGTGTAAAAGCAGTCTAACAGAGTGCATAAACTTATAAGATTATCTGCTTGATAAAGTTATCGGTTTAGATGAATACCACTAATGCATTTCTAAGGTTTGATGAATACCCTGAACAACCGGCCTTAGAAGTGCTAAAAATTAAAATTCTCACTGAAAAGAGCAGCACTGGTCAATTTGTTTTGTTTCAACTGCAAGACAACCCCAGTACATTTGGTGTCACGCAAAATGCAACCGTGTTTGACGCCGCCATTTATATTTTCGTTTCGGGATTTCGTGTCAAATTTTTGATTGCAAGTAAACGCGATTTTATATAAAAAAAATTGTTGCAGGAGGTTTACAAAGCGAGTTCATTGTGTTAGGTGCAACAAATCCGTAGGTTGTACTTTTAATAAAGTGAAAAAAAGCCGAAACAACTGAAAATATGGCGAATGTGCGGGACAGCGACACTTCATTGTGGCTGCATAACAAACTCGGCACCTCGAACGACTCGTGGATAAGTGGGTCGATATGCTCGCAACTTAATAAGGAAGTGCTGCGAAACATAAAGGAATGTTTTCC